ACTGCATTCAGCAAATAGATGATATGGACATGGCAGAAATAAGTAGTGCTGGGAGCTAGGTTCAGATAGCACACTCTGAAATTTTAAGTAACAGGAATAAACCACTTTGGATACATTCTATATCTATCTGCAATTTCTTTTGGGTCTCACTACTGGTAAACACTTAAGTCAGCTTCTCTTTTCTTTGCCTCTTCAGTCTTTACAGAACTGCTTCACTGTAAGCATAATTAAAAAAAATTTAAAAAGTAATACCTGCTCATACCTACTTCAGGATTCTTTTAATCCCCAAAATTGATTTCTCCTCCATTCTTTCAGCCTCACTAATTGAAATGCTCCAGGGAACAGTCCCTATGGAACACATGGAAATAAGAAAGAGTGCCTAAATTGTACTTCCATTGCATGTCAAAACAAACATTAGATGCTTAAGATGACAAAAATAGTACTGTGATGCTAATACACTGACTTTTGCCCTCCATGTTGCTATCAAAATACATATAGCAGATTCATCATCTTACTGAAGAACTGTAGTTGTAGAACACAGTTTTCCCACTAAAACTACTATAACCAGAATAAGACCAACTAGTATTCTATATTCCCCCAAAAAAATCCTGGCTTATGGCATTTTATCTGCTGAATGAACAGGTTTGTATGCACACAACTACACTGAAACAAGCTTTATAACCTGATGGCAGCAAACTGCATAGTGAAATAGGAGGTACTTCAAATGCCAAACCATAAAGCTCTTTAAGACTGGAACAAGAGAATCAAGATGACACGATTACAAAAACAGCACAAAATAGCTGGCTAAGAAAGAATGATGACAGTGGTTGTGCCTGGAAAGGGCTTGAAGCCACAGAAGGGGAAGGGGTCTGGGAAGGCACTGAAGTCACAAGAAAAATACACATTTCTTGAAGGGAAAAATACAAGAGAAAGAACAAAGGAAGAAACGTTACCTGTGGCACTAATGAAAAACAAAAGCAAATTTGTGGTCAACCTTGACAGGTACCCAGCACTGAAATTCAGCTAATGTTTTGGGAAGGAAAAAAAAAACCTAAAGCAAACCTCAAAGCCTACAAACCCCATAAATTTACGTGCAAGCTATAGTGAAAATATGTACACAGTGTCTTGTATAGTTAAGAGTTAAAAGACATCTCTTATGTAACTTATACTTTGTTAATGCAGAATTTTAAAAACTCAGTTCTTTAAAAAAATAAATTAATTATAAAGGTCTTCCTCAAAAGGGAAGACGAAAAAGAAACGTAATTGCTTCCTAAAACTGGCCACTGGCCAAAAGGGACACGCAGAACTGTATGTAATCACCTGACAGCCTTCCTGCTGACCAAGCCTGAACTTCTTGTACTAATAGATTTGACTCCTGCCAACATTATCTGACTCCAAGAGCAGGCTCTGAGGACCACTTACACAATGAGACATCATGGCCCATGACCACAAGTGTCAGAACTTGACCCTTACAATACATATAAAAGATCAGATCACTAAAACATGCAAGCATATGTTCATTTCTGTTGAAGTCTACATCCTAGGTATACACGTGAATGAGGTTGGAAAGAGGAAAATCTGAAGAACCTACAATTAAAAAAAATTCTTAAAACTCTACTGAGTGGGGAGTATCCCTGTGCTTTCTGTAGAGTTACTCTTTCCACAACTGTGTAATTCTTGGCACTTGGTAAGAAGTATCCACCATGGTGCTTGACTGTTCCTCATAAGGGCCGATTATGCTCCTACAGCCATTTAAAGTATGGAATAATCACCTACACACCTATGTTTTCTGTTCATCTTTTACAGTAGAGAAACATTAGTTTACAATAAAAAATACATCTAGCAAAGGATAATTAACTTATTACACTTAAAATAATTTTAGCCACTCAATTTGCCCCCCTAGTCCCATGTGCAGAGGGCCAACTACAAGCAGTGACTCCAGCACCAGTTTCAAGCATGAGATTTATGCTGGCACTCTTATTAGAGCTGAGGTAATTTAGGAGGAATGTCAGCACAAATTTACTTTTCAAACTTTATTACTCTGCTTTAAGAAGAGAAAGAATGCCTGCTATTGTAATTTTTTAAATATTTACAAAATCTCCGGTATCTGGTTTTAGTCCTGCAACATTAAAATCAAAACTCTAACATCACCTCACAACATGTTTCTTTTATAAGAAAATAGAAAACAAGAATTAGAAAAATCCTATTTAGTGAAAATGAAGTTTTTAATGAGAAACGTGATCACTCGTCACTACAGATAAAACTCAAGGCTACTGTTGAATTAAAAGAAGCTGCATGTGGACCACTCTGCAAGCTACGAGCTTGTGAATTTGGCTCCCATTGGTATCTGAGCCATTCAAACCCACTTCCCTTTGAATGTGCAGGTTCCTACCATGGAGAGTCGAAAGGGGATGAACATCTTAAGCTAATGAGAACTACACCAGCTGCAAAACTTTAATCCTTAACCAGAGGCCACATTCCCACCCTCCTGTCTGCAGATTGAATTTCCTTATCTTCTTTAGATAGAGAACAATGTAACCTACTTTTAAACAATCTTCATTTTTCTTTAAAAAGTAGGATGATGGAAACTGTCTTGGTGGCCATCGGGTAGCGACCTCTTCTCATAGCACTGTGACTTTTCAAAAAAATCACTTCTCTACCATCAAGGCCTTCCAAATTCATCTCCAACAGACATGTATTGCACAAACCCAGGAAAGAAATGCAGAAGCTGAGCAGAATAAAGCAGCAAAAGAGAACCACGTGGGGAAGTAAAGAGGCAATGTACTCTTTGGCTTTGCAAATAGCAGGTGACAGAAAAACCACTGGGTTTCCATGATACTTTTTTTATTAACCCAAATGCCTTTTTGAACACAGTAGTTCAAATCTGTAATAGCAGCATTAAGGATGAAAACAAAAGCCCATCCTGTGCAGTCAAAAAAGGAATTCCAACAGAGTGAACAAAATGCAGAAACAACAATTTATTCACCCTGTCCCCTCCTGCTCTGCCTATGCCTGCCTTTAGGAAGGCACTGTACTCAGGTGGTGGTGCCAGTCAGCCCTTGATCTCAGACAAGGCTCCCAAGACGATGCCATTTTGAGGTAGACAACTGTCCACTGGCAACAAGCATGAGAGCATCAACTCATTTTAAGCTGTGCAAAATGAGGCTACCATATGGCAACATCTTTCAGTCACTACAAAACTTGCTTCCAAACTGAAACAGCTACTGAGAGGTGAAAAGCTCCATATCACATTTCTAATCCCTCCTCTCTGTATTATATTTTTTTCATTTTATAATGATTCATATGTTTTCCTGGTCTTATGAAACTTGCTCCCTTGAAAATGTTTCCCAAATCACTTTATTTTGACTTTCATGTAGCAAGGACTTTTACAATGCATGTGAGAAATATTCTGTTGCTCATTATCTATTTGATAAAACACAATTCTTAAGGAAAAAGGTCAGATAAAAATTGGTATAATGTGGGGCTCTAGTGGTAGTGGGGAAGTAAAGCAGTGCCTAACATCAACAATAAAAGAGTAGATATTGACTTCTAGTAGGAAAACAGTAAGCGAAAACATCATAACAGATGGATTTAAACAAGGAAGAAGGAGAAGTGCAAGAGCTAAGCATCTAATTCAACAACATTTCTGGCTCACAGAATACATCTCTGCAAACAACATGATGAGTAACCCTCATTTTCAGTGCACAAACTTGAATCTTGTAATTTATTGCAGTTAAACAACAGAAAAAATAAGGTCAACACAGTTTGCTTATGTTAGCCTTAAAGGGAAAAAAAATATATATAGTACAGCAGGAAACCAATGTTCCTTACCAAAACTAGCTGAGAGTAGAGTAATTCTATGCACCCTTTTAAAACACACCAAGTCATATATATTGTCCTTTTCATGATAGCCATGGTAACTCCTATACCAGCCAGTAAATACTCTATTCTCAGCTGTATCATGAGCAAAATATTGTACCAACCACTGCAAGCAGTTTTAATACTGAGATTCAGTAGTCCTTTCAGACTGATGAGTTTGGCAGGAATTAAATCCTAAACTTGAAGAGCTCCTTCATTATATGCACAGTACTATCTCACATCCTTCTGGCAAGCATAATCAGCTTAAGTCCTGCTGACAGTTGATATTCCACCTGTAAAGGAGATTGTTTTTCATACAGAGTGACAGGATATTTAAAGCATACTCTTCATCTAGTGTTCTTCATCACACAGGGGATGCTGGCATTCCTACATCACCCTGTGAAACACTGGCATTATTTTCTTAATTTTTAAGCTGCTAGTTGAGCTTTGGTATATATTAGAAGAAGTTTATAAATCTAAAACAACATTCCCGGTTATCAGTCTATCAAAAAGGAGCACGAAAAACACAGGAAACATTACAGTGTGAATGTATGAACACTTGATGGCTGTATTAGGAGGGCCCATTTCCAAAGTCAAGCAACATCTCTGGTTGCATAAACACACACAGTTCTAAACACTCAGTAAGAAACCTGCAATTCCTTCCTAAGGAAACTGCTTTCAACCAAGACTACAGAAAAATGAGACTGAAAAAGCTCTTATATATATTACTGTTAACTTGCAACAGACTCTTCATCTACTTCAATCCATGTTATAAATAGTTTAATATTTTTCCTAGGGACTTTTGTTCTACTTCCCAAGTTGAGCACACAATGCCTTGATTCAGTACTACCCCATTTAAGACAAAATATAGTTCAACTCGCTAAAGTAGATCAATAACTTCTTCATAAGTTTTATTGTTTGGCACCATCCAGCCTAACTGGGTTTTTTTAAGTAGCACTAATTTCAATCCAGTGCCACGGTGCAAAAAAATTATTCTGGGCTTTACAGCTTTTCCCCCCAAGGAACTGCTGTTGATTGAAGAGGCATTCCCTGGATCTGACTTACATGTATTCGAAAAACCTGGGACATCAAATAACCCAGAGTTACAAGCCTGAGAGAGAATTCCAAGCTGTGCCTGTTACCTGGTGGGCAGTTGCACTCTGGAGCCGCTTCTCTAGCTACTCGTATTTTTGCCAAGTGCTCGTAGGATTTCTGTGGGCGAGAGAAGCAACATGAGGGCACTCGGCGAGCAAGCTCCGCCACAACCAGCGCTCCCGACCGCGGCCGCAAACTGGGATGTACCGCTATTCCATAGGCTATGCAGCCAACGATGGCTTCTCCGCTTGGACTCGGCCTAAGGTGTCTCACTGACTTCACCACCCCGACAACAACAAAACCAAGCCCGACACCTCCGACTCTCTCCCACCGCCGCCGCAAGTGGCCCCCGCCTTTTCGCCTTCTCGACACGCGCGGTCCAAAATCGCGGGGACGGCAGCAAGTTACAGATGAGCAAAGCGCCGGTGTCGTACGCAGGGGTCCCCCGCGACACCCCATCCTGCCCGCTCCAGCAGCCCGGAGCGCCCCCGGCGCCTCTCCCCCGGCCCCGCCGCCCCAGGGGATGCGGGCTTCACTTCGCCGCTTTCCCCGCCATCTCCCCGAGAGCTCTGTCCGCCGTCCCGCGGCCCGCGCACACAGCTCTCATCCCCGACACACGCACAGTTCCGGCGCCCGAGAGCGGCCACCCGTCCGCGCACACCTGGCGAAGAAGTCCGCTCCACTTTCTCCTGCATCATCGCGTTCAGCTGCTCCAGGGAAAAGCAAGGCAGCGGCGGGAGCGGGGCGGCGGCAGAGAAGCTCCCTCGGCGCCTTGATGGCCGCGACCCTGGCCTGGAAGGTCGCCTGGTCCGCACCCCCAGGTAGACGCAGGAGGCCCCGCGGCCAGCGCCGAAGGAGCGCGGCCAGCCGCCGAGCCGAGCGCCCGGCCCGCCGCGGGCAGCGCTCCCCGCCGCAGCCAGGCTTCCCCAGGCCGGGCTTCCCGCTGCCGCCGGGCTTCCCGCTGCCATCCCGTCCTGCGGCTCCTCGGCTCTTCCCCAGCGTGCTCGCACACCCTTCAGCTGCGGCAGCTTTGATTTCCTTCCCTCCGCCCCCCATAGAGGCAATTAGTTTACAAACAACGGCAACAAAAATAATGGCAAAAAAGTACGAGAAAATAAATAACCAAAAAAAATTATATAAAAAATGCGGTAAGTAGAAGAGCCCGCGAGGGGCTCACACACTTTCAAGGCTGAGAGGCAGCGCGCACCGCAGTCCGCACCGCACCCCGCCCGGCAGCGGGTCGCGACTCACCCCCGCAGCGGGGGCGGCGGCGGGAGGGGCGGGGAGGTGGCGAGGAGCCAAAAGCCGGCAGCAGGGCTGGGTGCGGGGTGAGGCCACCGGGCTTCCCCCGCCCTACCCGGAGGAGCAGCGGTGCTCTGCCTAGCGTTTGCCCACTTGTCAGAGAGGTTTTTTCAGGCGCGGGGCGGGAATCGCCCCCCTCGCCTCCGCTCTCCTCCCCGCCGCCGGAGGACTTCGTTGCTGCCTCCACCTGCCTGCCGGCGCCCAGCAGCGCGCGCGCCCAGGCGGGGAGGCGCAGGCGGCCCGCGCTGGCCCCCGCCGTTCAGCTCCGTGGAGCCGCCCCCGCCCCGGCCAACCTCCCGCCCCATCGGCATAATTTATCTCACACTATGGCACTGGGTCGGCCTGGGCAGCGCGGGGGGCTCGCCCTGCCTGATGTGTGTGCGGAGCGCGGAGCACCAGGATCAGAGATGTGGAGAGCGAGGGGCGCCGAGACTCCAGGGGAGGGAGGGGGTGCCCATGGCGGGCGACACCGGGGAAGGGGCTGCAAGGGGCGGCCGGCCCCGCCGGGGAAAGCTCTGGAACACCGGGCTAATTTACGGCGGTTTATGGACGGGCTGTCAATGCCCACGGTGCGGGCATAAAACACGGGAGCGCCCTGTCGTCCCGTTCTTTTTTTAGAGCGCGGAGGATAAACGTGTGTAACTCAGCAGCCCGGCTCCCGGCGAGCGCGCAGGCAGCCGATGCAACGGCTCGCTTCCAAGGGAGCAGCATGCACTAACTCCCCATTGTATGGAGAAGGTTTAATTTTAGCCAGTTTTCTTTCTGCTTGTTTATTTACCCAGTTGCTTCTCCACTCTTCCATGCATACTGGCCAGTTTTCATTGTTTCTGGTTTGGTTGAATAGAAAGGAACCACTAACATCCAGGGAACCGCACACATAGCCTGATGGGAAGCTTGTTGGTTTCTGGTCCTTCCCCGTCTGCCTCTTATCTTCCAAACGCTGCATTGACCTGCTGTAGTTTGGTTCTCTTCTTGGCATTACCACAGTGCATCTTCTACATAGCACTTTTGTATGACATCTCTTGTGCTCAGTACACTTTGCAAACCAGGGAAACCTCTCAAAGCAGGACCAGACATCAAAGAAACATGTAGTTCACCCTAGTTGGCATCATGTGAATACTGACTACTTACAGGATATAGATTCAGGGGATGAAAAAGAGACTTGTCCAACTATGGTACTTCTCAAACAAGACTAAAAGTATTGGTTTGTACTATGAATCAAGTTTCCTTATGGAGTCATATTTGTGCAGTTTTATTACCTATTGTTTCCCAAGTGTTCAAGCAGTCACAAATGCCATGAAGATGTGGATCCAAAAAGCTTTGTGGGTTTCATTATACTTACTTGAACTTTGAATAGAGTGTACCAGAAGTTCACAGCTAGTCATTTACTCTTCATGATTTTTCTCTTCTTTCTAAACAAAGAGTTTTGTGGACTCTAATCGGGGAGAAGAAATCGTGATTACATAGCCCTGGGTGATAGTTTCTTCACAATAAACAGTTAATAGTTGCAATGAACAATTTGCAAACAAATTCCCCCAAGCAGCACATACCTTATGATCAGGACTTGTGAATAACAAACTGTGCTTTTCAGAACAAGGACTCACTCACAGACTATCTGTTGGCAATCAGAAGATGAAATAATATTTGGAATTAATAAACTGACAGAAGAAAACAAATACTACCCACATGCTCTTATTTGGCGTGTAGCATGGGCTCCCCGAGTATGGTATGAGCAGTGCCCAGGCTGCCTCGCAGTGGCTGGCGGCCCGAGAGGCGCTGGAAGCCATCGGCGCCAGCTCCAGCACTTCACATTACCCCCTGCTGTTAGTAACCAGCACCAGCAAAGTAACACTGCAAACCCTCAGGATATGATTGTCATTTTATATTGGGGGTTAGTGAGGCGCCACCAGGGGCAGGATGGCTGCCCACACCCCGCTGCTGCTGCCTGCGTGGTATGCAAGTGGGTGCTGCCCCATCTAGGCCAGGGTGAAATTTCCTCCCGAGATCAGCTCTTGTTATTTCAGGGCAGGTACGGACATCCTCTGGCTGCTTTAGTGCCCCATATGGGGCCCAGAAAACCATAGGTCAGTGTGACCTGGCTCAATGTTTTGCTTGGCCAAATGATGCAGTCTTTCTGCCCAAGCATCTTTCTGTCCCAGCATCATGCCGTTTGTTTTGGACAAGGCATATTCTACATCAGAAATTAAATAGCCTGAGACAGAAAGTCCCTTCTTACATTAGATTTAGATGTACTTGACATCATAAAGATTGCCAAAGGACCCAGATCACCATGTTTCTGTGGGACACAATGCAAAGCTGTTATTCTAGTGAATAACAAATCTCATGCTAGATGTTTCTTATTCTGAAAAGGTATGATAAGAAACCTTTTTTTTTCCTGTCCAGGACAAACCAGGAAAGCACAACTTTAAAATATCCAAGAAATTGGTTTTTTTCACAATGGGTAGCTATACCTCTGCACACTTGGGAGAAGTGTTAGCCCTGCCTGGTCTCACCACTGAAAAAGATGAGGTTCATTCTCGTGTATGCGCATGTCTGCTCACACATATCCTCAGACAAAGAGAAACATGATGAAGGAGAGTGAGAGGAAAAAGAGCAGTGCCAAGTCTTCCTCCTTGCTCCAGCTTACAGTTACATTTTTCTTTTTTGCTAAAGCTTGGTTCTGGGAAAGATGTAAGATAAAAGTTTATTAAAATGCTTAGAAATTATTTGATAGTGACAGAATTTGAGAACAAATTATTTCCAGTAGCTTTTTTCCTAATGTGTTTTCACACAGAAATAGATAACAGAATGTCTTTGAAAATGCAAATTAGTAATGTGCTCTTCTTACAGAAAAAATGTGGTGATTTTCCTGATGGAGGCATTATTTATCCACTTCACAGCAAGGTTGGTCCAGAATAGACTAGACTGGACTGTGGAATCTGAGCAGCAAGCTGAATTATGCACAGTCTGATTAAATCTAGCACAGGAGTTGTTTGTGTAGGTGAAGAACATAACACAGCTGTTTTACCTGTTATAAAAATCTCCGGTCACGTCTGCTCGAATAGAGAGCACTAAGCAGCCGTACCCTCCTGTGCTCTGTTACTTGATACCATCAAGTGGACAACCAGCAGCTATGCAGTATGCTTGTCCCATAAACACAATAAACTGGATAAAAAAATTGTTAAGACACAGCATTGCTGCTTTTGCCAGCTTTCCACAAGCGGGAGGCAGAGCGAATCCAGGACATGCATATGTTCAGTGCCAGTGAGCCTGCTTCTTATTTTGCAGCCATGATGATGCCAGAGTCAAGAAGGCATCTACTTAGGATCATAACTAAGATTAAAACCAGATTGCTGTAGCACTTTGGAGAATGCTATCCATGCAATGAAAGAACTGGGTTTCTTCTTTTTTTTTTCCCTCTCTCTCTCTCTCTTAAAAAAAACCACTATTTTTTACCTTTTTTATTGGTGAAGATTTATAGGTTTTGAATTAGAGAGGGTAACTTGGTCTAAGGAGTTAAACTCCTACTCCAGGAGTAAACCAGATGGCAGTTCATATGGGTAAGCAGTAATTTAACTGCTTGCAGTCAGGAACTGTATCTCAGATGTTGCTGGTCACATTTAGGATGATATACCATGCAAGTTCAGGTTCCACAACACTTAAAATGCTTAAAAAGCCTATTTTGTATCTAATAGCCAGAATATAGCAGCTTGAAATAAGAACTGTACACCAGGTGTTTGGAACTGGCCATTAACACGTACAGGTAGAGTATATGAAATGGCACATCTGCAGCACTCCAACTCCAATAGTAGCAAAAGGAGGAGAATTTTAAGTAAGGTCTGCTGAAGTGCTCATGCACACAGACCTGAAGCGGCCACGCTTCCCACCAGGAGGGGAGTGCTCTCACTTTGAAGATTCAAATCTCTAACGGCCACATTTCAGCAGATCTTGTGCATTACCAGCCAAAGGTATTGACACAAGATGCTACTGTTTGCATTTCATAAGTCTGTGTTTGAGGATGTGGATGGTGTTTGCAGATAACAATTTTCCACCAGACAGAATTAGTGTCTGGAGTTCTTTCCATATTTTTATGTCTACAGCATGCTATATTCTGGCTGACCAATCCACAGTCGACTACTGGATTTCTTTACCAGATA